CAGCGCTGAGGCGGCCTCTCTCTCTCAGACCGCCGAGGCGCCGTCCGGGCCTTCAGCCCGCAGCCCGGCGGGGTCACGTCCCACCCGGCCCCTCAGGCCCCGGCCCGCTCCTCAGCCGCGGGAAGCGCCGCTGAGGGACGTTTCCCGTCCCCCCCCCCCCGCAGTTCCCCGGGCGGTGATCGCGGCCCCCGGGGCTGCCCGGCCGGAGCCGCCCGCAGCGCTGCTCTCCGGTCTGAAACTGAGGTGGGGAGGGGGGAAAAAAGATCAAAAGGTGAAAAAGCGATTAAAAAAATAAAAATAAAAGCGACCGTTTGGCTGCAGTTCTCCCCGCTTCCCGCTGTCTAACGGGTAAAGGCACTGCGGTTATCTGGGCGGGCGCTTATCGGCAGCCGCCCGGTTGGCCCGAGCATCAACCATGCCTCAGAGTGACAAAAAATGGACCTCAAATCTGAAATGGCTTGATTTTTTTAACTGTTTCTTTGAGACGATAATGTGTTTACCTCTGGGGCAAAAATGGGTTGGTGTAAAAAAAAAAAAAAAAAACCTAAAAAAACCTAGTATTTTTTGTAACGCCGTTGTTTGAAATGGTGAGGTGAAGCGACGCCCCCGCTTTGTTTGGGAGATGCCTTTTGCCGGGCGGCTTTTCGAAAAGTCGGGGCGGCGCTTGGGGAGAAGCCGGAGTGTGTGCGGGCGGGGGGGTATATGGAGAGCTGCCTGTCCCCCGGGCGGGCGGCAGAGGGGAAGGGGGTTTCACACCCCTGGGCAGGCGTGTGAGGGGTCCCTGCAGTGGCTGGAGCTGTGTCTGCTGGAGGGAAGAGGTGTCCTGCTCCCGGAGAGCCGCTGTCACACACGGCTGTCACACACGGCTGTCACACACCGCTGTCACACACCGCTGTCACACACCGCTCCTGGCCGCCAGAAACGGGCTGGGAAGCCCTGATAGAAAACTTGCCTTTTCCCCTACGGTGTGAGTGCTCATCTGGCACCGTGATGCTGCCCAGCCCAAGAAACCCACAGTATCAAATCCACTGTTCTGTGCCCCTATTTTCCCCCCATTCATTTTCCCATTAAAACATTTTTTAACCGAATTCACTGTTCTGTGCCCCTATTTCCCCCCACCCCGTTCATTTCCCCATTAAAACATTTTTTAATCCAAGAGGGAGAATAAAATTGGAAAAAAAAAATGTTGGAATTATTTTCCATCTCTAGGTACCAGATTGAGTAATTGTTCTGTTGTGTAACGCAGAGAAAAATGGAAACTATTTTTCTGTTCCCACTGTCTGTTCCTGGCAGAAGAATGTTCTGATAGCAAGGAACTGTAGCTTTTATATTTTTTTTGTAACCCGGGCAGTACAGAATGTTATTATGGAAGAGCAACACTAACAATATATTGTTAAACTTTGGGTCAAGTGTGAACTTCAGAAAGGTAACTAGTAACTATGTAATTTTCGTTTTGATGAGTGCCACCTTAAGTATCTGTTTAGCAGGTGTTTTTTTTTCTCCTGGTTAAAAACACAAAGTAGCTCAACAGAACTTTGAAACAACCAATCAACATTGTTGCTGATTGAACTTTGTGGGTTGAGGACACAGTTCTACCCTTTTTCCTGATGTTGGGTGCTTCGCTGAAAAGGATGTTGTTGTTTTTTCAATGAAGTCTTTCAGATGCCTGATGTTTTAATTCACAGGGAAATGACCTGCACTGGCTGGCCTGTGCCTTGTACGTGGCTTGCAGAAAAGCAATTCCAACTGTGAGCAGAGGGACAGCCGAGGGAAATTATGTATCTTTAACCAGAATTTTGCGCTGTTCAGAACAAAGGTAACTTTTTCCTAATTTTTAAACACTTACAAAATCTCAAAGACTGCTTATCAGCTTGTGAAATTTAGAAATTGAGAACAAAGGCTAAACGTCTGTCTTGTTTCCTGCTTTTAAAGATGGAAGTTATATCACTGCAATCTTTGTGTTATAGCTCATTGCCACAGAAGTAGGACAGCTCCATTTGGTCATTACTCTGCTGTAAAAATACTCGTTTTCAAAATCAGAGATTGCCTTCCCCCTCTCAAAGGAGAAAGAAACCAGTCCCTGAAGAATAGTCTATTTTTGAAGAATGTGCAAATTGCAAGCTGCTCACTGCAGAAACCATTTTCAATTGGCTGTGAAAATATTCATACTTTTTTTTTTGTAAGAAGACTTCACTTTTCATAGCTTTATGAAGCTGACATGATGTCAGAGTCTGATAAAGAAATTTGTATTGAATATTTACATCCGTAAAGCAATGAAGAAAAACTTTCTAAAACAATTGATTTTATTTATTAGCAACCTAATGTACTAAATTGTAACAATTTAGTACATTAGCAAAAAAAAAAAAACCACCTTCTTAAGCAATTTTTCTCCCCATCACTTTTACTGTTGGAGCATTGCTGTTGGTTTAAACAATAGAAACTTGTTCCTTTAGAAACTTTCCCCTCCCTCCCACCCCCAATCAGAAACCCAGGGAGTTCAATGTGGATAAACAGTTTCTGTGAATCTACGCTATCAAAGACTAATACCATTGAAAATGTAGGTGTAGATAAAAGAGAAAAATAAAGAAATAACTGAAAGCCTAATTTATGAAGTGAAATTAACCAGAACTTTGGGTTTTTTCAATGCTTCCTTAGCATTGTAGGATTCAGAGTTTGTTCTATTTAAGTTCATAAATGATTCAGAAAAATGAGGGAAATCTGATTTTAGAGTAATTTGAGTGTTGGAGCTGCTTGTGTCTTTGTGAAGAAAAGCCAAGAACTGTGAATATATAGTTCTCGTGGTCATCAGCTGAGGATATAAAAATATTTTGTAAGCTGTCTGAGCTCATCCTTGTTAAGGGGTGGAGGACTGGCTCTGGGTACCGTGTCACGTTTGCAATACTGCCATTTTATCGGTAGTTTGGGAAGTAGAAATTGCACTTTTGTTGTAAATAAAATGTATAGTATGTTTCTGGAGAAAAAAAAATTACAAACAAAACCAACCAAAACAAAACTGTCAGATCTAACCCATTTGGTATTTTCAGCTTGATCGAGTTTTTTAACAAGATGAAAAAATGGGAAGACATGGCCAATCTACCCTCCCAATTCAGAGAACGAACCGAGAGATTAGAGAGGAATTTTACAGTTTCTGCAGTAATTTTTAAGAAGTACGAGCCCATTTTTCAGGACATTTTCAGATACCCTCAAGAAGACCAACCTCGTCAACAGAGAGGCAGAAAACAGAGGTACGTTTCTGTTATGACCGGGCTGATTTTAGAGTATTACTATTACAGAAATATAATGAAGTTGTTCAGTTGTTTTAGTTGTGGTTTTGATTGTATTTTGACAGTAGTTCTTTATAATATTGGAGTTGGTCTGTCTGTCTGTGCTCACAGTGATTTTTGAATCTTTTTTCGGCTTGTCAAATGTGCAGAGTGCAGGAGATCCCAAAGCTGTTTCTATGATTTGGGGGACAAGGGGAAGGGATGAGATTAAAATAAGCCCATAGACGAGAGAAATAAGATAAATATTAATATTTCCAAGATGGGAAAGGTTGGAAAATGGAATCATTGTACTATCAGTACAGCCTCAGTAGCTCACAGAACAGCTCAGCCCTTTTCACTGCCTAGTAATTCCCACACTTCTCTTCATAGACCAAGATCTTTCAGATATTTTACTTTATAAAAGAAGCTTTGTTTCTTTGTTACTGCTCATATTAGAAGTGCTGTGAAAATTATGTGCTGGCCTCCTTTTCTGGTGATTTTCATCTCAACAAGATTTTATCTGTTTGTGCCAGCACTTAGCATGGATCCTGATGTCTTGTGGTAGTTAGTAGTGACTGATTTATTCCCGTTCATTATTTCTTTCATCTTCACTACTGTGAAGTGCCATTGTTTGCTTGCTTTTGTGGTTTGTTCAGGTTTTTAAAAACTATTTTACTTTATTTTTTCTAATATTTACAGGCTAGATCTTAGGGGGTTTGTTGGGCTTTTTTTTTTTTCCCCTTGATATCCTTGTGACCATAATTTAGGGACATTTATAATGAAATGTGTTTGAATCTGTAATAAAAACAGGGCTGGAGAATGCAAAAGGTGAGTAAATTGGAATTGGACTACAGATGGAATAGATTCTGTATTGACATGGATATTTGCATGTAATGTTGAAATTAGAATATACTGCATATATAATTCTTAGTAGAAGAGTAAAGCCTGCTAGTTCGTTAGCTTGGATGGTAAGGTTTGAAGTAATTTTAAAGATTAAATTGGAAGGTGATGATGATACTAATTTTTCTGTGAAATGTGTGTTAATTTTGACATTTAAAGCCATTCTTCGCATAACCTGATGGAGGATGGGCTGTGATATACGAAATAGCACTTCCAGGGATACATTATATGGAAACAAGGAATGATGTGGAGTTATAAAAATTGGTGCTACAGGAGGTTGTATTGTTTTGTTTTAAATACACACAGTAACTACTGGTGCATTGTTTCTGATTATTATTTTTTTTTTTTAATAAAAATTTGGATGAGTTGATTACTCTGCCAAGATTTTTCTGCTACCAAGAACACAAACCGAACTTACTGACCAGAAATGTGAAAGTAGGAAGGAGATTTAGGAAACTCTCCAGTGTGGTGTGTGTGAAGAAATAACAAATCCTTAATAGCTGCAAAACTTTAGATTTAAAATGGGGCTTCATGAATGAGTTATATTTTATTTGAAAGCATTTTAAATGAAGACCATCAGAGGAATTTTGTTCTAATAAACATAAAATATATTCCAAAATTCTGTATACTATATAAAATCCTATACAAAATGCTTTACATGAGTACATAGATGATGTTCTTGTGGACACACAGTTCTGAAAATGTTGCCTGTACCAAATATACAAATATTAACCTGCTGTGTAATGAGTTCCTGCAAGAACACACATATGTGCTTATATTACTCACAATGCTTACAAAGATGGAGTTTCAGCACTGACTCTTGAACTGTTTCAATTGACTATATGTACCATTTATAGCAGAAATAACATTTTCAGCAGATTTTAAATTGAGATATTTACCTGTTCTTTGCAACTAAGATCAAAATTTTGCCTTAAAATAAAACATGTAAGCCAGCCGCGTTTAACATTAAATTTACAGTAATTTTTTGCTCAAGTCTTGGCTACTTCTCATGCTGAGTTGGTCTGCTGCAGTGACATTTGAATCATTACATGCAGACTGAGACTGGGGTTCCACTTGTGTCCACACTAAACCAGCGTGCTGCTTTATTACCTTTCAGTAATAAGGGTAGTCAGGTTTTTGTGGGAAGGGTTTAAGATTTTGGCCACGCAATAATAAAGCTTCATTTTCCTGTAGAATGATCAAATGTTGTACAATGCTCTATCAGTGTTAATTCATTTTGCTTACTGGATGTCTTCTTGCTGTATTTTTCCCCAAAAGGCGCCAGCCGTGCACTGTGACTGAAGTTTTCCAGTTTTGTTGGGTGCTGTTTGTTCATGCAAAAGGTAAGAGATTTGAAAGGGACTGAATACTGCAGACCTGGTTTTGTTAGTCATTATGTTATAGTGGTCCTCAAACACTGAAAAGGTGTGGGCATTTCTGAATTGAGAAATGCCTTTGGAGAAGAGACCTTCTCAGAACAGCGCTGCTTTATTACCTTTCAGTAATAAGGGTAGTCAGGTTTTTGTGGGAAGGGTTTAAGATTTTGGCCACGCAATAATAAAGCTTCATTTTCCTGTAGAATGATCAAATGTTGTACAATGCTCTATCAGTGTTAATTCATTTTGCTTACTGGATGTCTTCTTGCTGTATTTTTCCCCAAAAGGCGCCAGCCGTGCACTGTGACTGAAGTTTTCCAGTTTTGTTGGGTGCTGTTTGTTCATGCAAAAGGTAAGAGATTTGAAAGGGACTGAATATTGCAGACCTGGTTTTGTTAGTCATTATGTTATAGTGGTCCTCAAACACCGGAAAGGTGTGGGCATTTCTGAACTGAGAAATGCCTTTGGAGAAGAGGCCTTCTCAGAACGGCCTGAAGGAACCTATTCTGTTTCATTTCCCCAGCTTTACCACATTTCTAAGGTATGTTATAGGTCCAAATAGTTTGGTAGCTTTTATGTAGAATATTTTTACAAGGTTGCTAGTATTGTGGAGCTTTGTGCTGTAATTCCAAGGGAAAAAGTAGCTTAGGATTTTAATGTGTTCATATTTAGATCTTGTTGTTATTAATATAAGGTACATATGTTTACTAGGAACAAAAAATATTTAAATTCCTCCTAAGTTTCCAGTAACACTGACAATATTTAATGAATATTTTCCTACAACCTAGTAACGGTTCCTAGTATTGTGGAGATTTGTGCTGTAATTCCAAGGGGAAAAGTAGCTTAGAATTTTAATGTGTTCATATTTAGATCTTGTCGTTATTAATATAAGGTGCATATGTTTACTAGGAACAAAAAAATATTTAAATTCCTCCTAAGTTTCCAGTAACACTGACAATATTTAATGAATATTTTCCTACAACCTAGTAAAAAATTATCATAGAAATCCAGGTGTGAATACTTTTATGCTAGTATCACAGATAGTGTTGTAATTCTTTTGGTAGCCTTTTTGCCCCCTGCCTTTTTAAACAATGAGGATACAGCAAGGTGTGCACATGCCTGTCCTGAAGGGTGATTTTCTCTCGTGTTTTGGACACAGCAGTGTATATATAAACAGCTGAGTGTCCTGATGACTCTGATTCCTTTGGGAGATGTAGAGGGATCCTCTGTCAATGTGTGCCTGCAGAAACAATGCAACGAACAGACAACATACTGCAATGTATATATAACCTTTATCATAAGAGCAGCCTTAAAACTAATAGAATAGTAGAGGATTTCTCCCAACTGAGGGGAGAAAAAGCCGTAGGAGGGACCAGAATTAAATCCTGATTTTGGGCTTAAGTCTGTTCAGTCATACCACATATAATCTAAAGACTTTCTTCATTAAACATGGGTTTTAAAGAGTTTCTGCTTACCTAGGGCTTGGCCAAGTACTGCTTGGGTGAGCCTTCACGGGGAATTCTGTATAAATCAGATAGTGGTTTGAAGAAAATAAAGCACAGGTTTCTATTCCTCACTGAAGTCCATTAATAATTTCCAAGACCTTTTATACATTTTCATAAGAAAACTAGTAGAAGAAAACTAATAATTTATTTCTACAAGGAATAAAAGGAATTTTGTTTTGGTTTTGAGGTGTGTGGTAGGTGTTTTGGGGTTGGATTTTTTTTTTTTAATTTAAAAGCAAAGTAGTGTTAGGATTCCTGCAGTGTGCTGTGAGTTCCTTAATTGGCTGCTTTTGAGGACAGGACAGAGCAGTCTGTCACAATATTGAATTGTCTGGCACTAATTTTGTTCTATGCAGATTAACCTTTCGTTCTCACTGTGCCACGTTGCAGGGGGTGCCAAGAGCTCCCTTTTGGAGAAGTTCCTGGCAGTATTCCTGGGCTGTGCCACATTGCAGGGGGTGCCAAGAGCTCTCTTTTGGAGAAGTTCCTGGCAGTATTCCTGGATCTCACTGTCACATCTTCTTACAAAGATGGAGAAGTGTGTGGTGTTGCACGAGTGCTGTACTGAACACTGTATCTTAACGTGGAAGATGCCTTTTTCCCCTGGGCTGCAAATTCCACTCTATAGGGAAGGCAAATCTTTCCTAAACAAGTCTGTTGCTTCCAACCCTGACACACAGTATGAATTTCCTTTTTTTTTTTTTTTTTTTTGGTCCAGATTAGTGCTCTCAAGTAGAGTGAGGTATCTCTTCATATGCCACTGAGTCCAGAGCAGAGTTAGTGCCGTACTTTATTTCCAGGCAGTCAGGACTTCACTTCTTCAGCACAGTTGGGCAGCTGGAAAAGTAGGTCAGTCTGAAAAACAGATTTTTCTTTTCCCTGCTCTAAAATCCTCCCTTCTATGGGTAGATTGGACAGTTGATAAGGTGCAAAGGGACTTCAAGAGTCTTTCTATTGCTGAATTATTGGTTAATATGTTTGAGTAACTGTATCATCAGATAACTACATGTTAATTGGCGAGCAGTTTCAGACATGCAAATTAACTTTGTAGAGAATACCGTGCTGACAACAGCCAATTCAGTTTCACAGGAAAAAGGAAAATTTCCGGTAATTGTAGATTGTAAAAATCTGTGACTAGTGGTAGATTTATTAAAGTGTGGCAGCACAAAAATGTAAACTAAATGTTGACCATTTAAGGCATTAAATACTCATGTGAAGTTTTGTTCAGTGTGTTTTGAGGGCTGGCAGTAATCCTTATCGTGGCAACCGCACATCAGTGGCAAGTTGAGGCTTGTCTCTGTGACATTTCTGTGGGCCTGAGGGTCATTGCCTTCAGGTTCACAAATGCAGAAGACCAGATCTTGCTCCTACCTTTGGTGTACCCTGCAAAGGAAGGTAGTGGCTTTGTTTGGAGATACTGCAGTTCTTGCATGCTATTTGTAAGAATTTATCTTTAAACTCTCTATCTTGCCCTTCTTTCTTTCTTTAAAATGAAAAAAATCATCTTTCTGCTGTGCTGAGATAACTATTTTTCATTACTTGATACTAGGCTGGGAAAGAAGGTCATAAGCTATTGTTTGAAATGTCACTGACAAATCATTTGGATGGAATTACTGTCAAATTAGGATTATTTTTGACTGTGCTGACAGTGGGGATTGCCATGTTGGACTTCATGGTTATGAAAGTGAACTTAAGTTATGAGAGTTGCTTCTTTAAGATTATTAGTGATTAACATTTTGCTGTTGTATTTAGGACTTTTACTGCTTTGCTGTGAGCCCTTAACAGTTTGGAAATAATTGATAAGCATGTGCAGTTAATACAAGTTTCATGTAGGCTTCATTATTTTAAATAGTTCCAATTATCTGCATTGAAATTATTTTTCTTCTAACACAGAATCAGAAAATTGAATATAAATTTGAACAAACTCGCACATTACTGGTAGAAAATAATTTAGGCAAAATTTGAATCACATAGATTTTCTATAGATGTGTTCTAGGTGAGTTTATTACTATGTGATAGATTTCTTCAAGTTAAACTTTATCTTCATAGTGGGCTCAGATAAGTGGTATGGAGCTTAAATTTAAAAAAAAATAGTAGAGTTATGAGTATTTAAAGAGTGACAGAAAATCATGCTGTCCATATAAATTAATGGAACTTTGATTTAGGGTATTAATTAAAGATATAGGTTATTTTACAACACTGTTTTTAGCTATGGCCATTCCTCTAAAGGAATATCATAACCCTCAGTAAGTTCAATAAAAAGTAATGAATCTGAATATAATCTTTGTGAAAGGTGATAAAAGAGTGAAGAGATTACAAAGATTATTTTCTATGAGAAGATGATAAATAAGAATACATTAGAGGTATATGAAATATAGCTACATTATAAACCAGATCAGAGATATGCATTTTAGCTCTTCAATAAAGCACAAGAGAAATGTATTTTAATATTTAATTGAGTTAATGTTTTATTAAGTGTGTGTCTGTTTTAGTACCTGCATTTATATCCAGATATTTATAGTCTCCAAAGTCTGTGTTTCCACGACTCCGCTATTGACTGTAATACAAATCTCAACAGTTTCTTGATTAAAAAAATTTAAATTGATGGTAATTTTAATTATTCTTTTCTGTATTTCTAATATTGAAGGTAACTTTCCTATGATCAGTGATGACCTGGTCAATTCCTACCACCTCCTGTTGTGCGCTTTGGATTTAGTGTACGGGAACGCTCTCCAGTGTCCCAACCGCAAAGAGCTTCTGAATCCTCATTTTAAAGGTATGGTGAAAGAAAACTATCTGTCTTTATCCAAAGCCTGCAAGAGCTTCTAAGGCTGCTGAAATTAGTGTGAATTTATATGGCAGGGAATAAATTGAATAATATTGATTTTAAATAAGTGGGAATTAGTATTTTCCTTTTAATTTCTGATGTAATTCTTTCCAGACACAGACTGCATTTCCAGTGCTGAAGAGTATTCGCAGTTACTGTGCAGTGGTTCAGATGGGAACTGGGACCATTATCTCAAATTTATTTGAATAAATTTTATAGTTCACAAGTGTTTGATTGCTTTTCTATTAGAAACTGCTATTTTAAGTTTTTATCGCTAGATGTCTATTTTTTTTAAATCTGTGACTCAAAATTGGGTTTTGATAACATTATCAATTTGAGGGGGTATTCTATAATTAATAATTCTTTAAAGAGAACGAATTAGTTTACCATTTTAATTTCACACTACCTAGACTACACATCATAGAATTTAAGTTTAATAAGAAGATAGGATATGAATTTGCAAAATTAAATAATTTTATTATGTAATATTAATAGAAATATAAAAATATATTTATATATAAAATATAATAATGTTAATATAATAATATTCTTAATTGTAGGTCTACCTGAAGACTTTCACAGTAAGGATTATAAAGTATCATCAGATCCTCCCTGCATCATTGAAAAACTGTGTTCATTGCATTATGGATTAGTTTTAGAAGCAAAAGGCATAAAGGAACATTTTTGGAAGCCATATATTCGGAAGCTTTTTGACAAAAAGGTTTGGTGGATAGATTTGTAATGTAGAAAAATTTCTCCTTACACATTATTTCAAAGTCTTTTTTTAAGAACTGAAATGCCCATCCTCTGTTCTTACCTGTCTTACAGCTTCTGAAAGGAAAAGATGAAAACCTGACCGGATTTCTAGATCCTGGGAACTTCGGCGACAGCTTGTGAGTCTCTGGATTCATGGTTGGGTTGTTGCTGGTGTCCCCTGGGCTGCCATGCCCTGGCACTCGTGTTACTGCCTGTATCCTGACAGTAACACCAAGGAGCTGACTCCTGTATTCGTTACTGTTTACACAGTACTTGGTGTTTAAGCTCCTTTCTCTGAGCTGGGTTGGTCTGAGGCACGTTTGAAAGAGGAACGATTTTTCAGGGTGGTCTGACTTCATCTCTGCTTTTATTCTAATGTTTCTATGTTGCCCCAGGTTTTGTTGCACATAACCCAACGTGTTAGTATGAGAAAGATGTGGGAGTGCATTGACTGAGTGGGAACTGGGAGGGAAAAAATGGGTTTGGTGGTATTTTTGTCTTAATAAACCTAGAGATGCTTATAAAAACCTAGAGACGCTTATAAGTAGGACTTAGTTTCTTATAAATGGTATGAAAATGGTTAAGTGTAGTTTATGATGATATGATGCTGCATAAGTTTTGAGGTGTTTCCAGCCAGTATTTGATTATGTTCCACCTGCAGCTATAGTACATGGCAAGCCAGTGGATAGAATGGAAAAATAATGTCCTTGCCACTTTCCTGTTTTAAGATACTGTAGATTTTAAAGGAGCTCCAATGCTCGAGTTAAACAAAGTTGTGAAGCAGAGTTCCAACGGGCCAGAAGTGTGTTCATGGAGCCAGGAGGTGACCAAAGCCCTGCCTCACTCAAGGGGGGTTTGTATCTGTCTTTCCCTTCCCGTTGCAGCAAAGCCATCAACAAGGCCTACGAGGAGTATGTTCTGTCGGTAGGAAACCTCGACGAGAGAATATTTCTCGGGGAGGATGCGGATGAAGAAATTGGAACTCTCACAAGGTGCTTAAATACAACTTCAGGAATGGAAACGGCTGAAAGAGTCCAAGTGAAGCACAATTTGCAGCAGCACTTTGACAGGGTCAGTATGAGGTGGTGGGTGATGCTGATTTTCTGTGGGGAGTGAGTTGAGTTGGTCTGTGTCTGATGAAGAGAAGCAGCTACTGAAAAACACCATCTTTATTGTCTGAGGTGACCTGGGAGTGTACACAGCACAGCTGAGTTAGATTTTTGTAATTTATTTGATATATTGTTTACCTTTGGCGTTCTTGGACACAATTTCTCCATGCATTTGGGTTTTCATTGATTAAATCCAGTATAGAGAATATTTAGGTAATTACCTAAGGAGATATCTGTAGGTAAATCTTTAGGTGAAGATTTTCAGACCCAACAGAACAGGCAATTCCCAGTGGCTGTTTGGCCAATGATGAATTGTCCTGTGACTGTTGGGGGCATCTTCCCCTTCCCTCACACCTCTGTCCCAAACACAGAGGGGTTTGTTTATCTCATGCAAAGCCACTCAGCGCTTTGCTTTACACATAGTTTTATGTTTCTTTTTCATGGAGAGGCTTCAGGTGTCAATATTACATCTGTTTATTCTGTGAGTTAAATCTGTAGGGGATGGTTTTCACCTTGCTTGCCTAAAAGCACGATATATAGGTTTGCCTTTATATATGACTAATAAAATAGCATAAAATATAGTCTTTGAGAGGCTAAAGAACATGATATGTCTCAGAATGATAAAGTGAAGACCTGTAAAATGATCAGGGATTTTGTGCGACTAGAGCAGCTTTTGAAAATCAGGCACTGGCTCTGCCTGCAGACATCTATCCCCGTGA